GATTCCTCAGCACCACATAAGCAGAAAAAGCTGGAAGTGGTGCTGTGGCTCCAGTGGTAGAGCACTAGCCTTGAGCTGAAGAGCTGAGGGACAGTGCCCAGGCCCAGAGTTCAGGCCCCACGACTGACCAAAAAAAACAAAAACAAAAACTAGCACAGTGTCGGTGGCTCATGCCTGTCATCCTAGCTACTCAGGAGGCTGAGATCTGAGGATCGTGGTTCAAAGCCAGCCCAGGCAGGAAAGTCTACGAGACTCTTATCTCCAATAAACCGCTCAAACCGTTCTGTGGCTCAAGTGATAGAGCGCTCGCCTTGAGCTGAAGAGGCCGAGACCCTGGCCCAGAGTTCAAGCCCCACAACTGACAAAAAAAAAAAAAAAAGTTAACAAAAAATTGATCATCTCTAATGCTCCAATTTCCTCTTACCCCAGCACTCAACATTCAATATGTATATGTGACTAGAGTTTGAACTTGGGCTATTTTTTTTGTGTCACAATACTGGGGCTTGAACCCAGGGCCTGGGTCCTATCCCTTAGCTTTTCTACTCACAGATAATGCTGTACCACTTGAGCCACAGTCCAGTTCTGGATTTTTGTTTATTGATTGAGGATAAGGGTCTTACTAAGGCTAGGCACTATTGGCTCACACCTGTAACCCTAGCTACTCAGGAGACTAAGATCTGAGGATCGTGGTTCAAAGCCAGCCCAAGCAGGAAAGCCTGTGAGACTCTTATCTCCAATGAACCACTAAAAAACCTGAAGTGGCACTGTGGCTCAAAAGTGGTAAGGCGTGGGCTGGGAAGGTGGCTCAGTGGTAGAGTGCTTGCTGGCTTCAAATCATGATCCTTCTGTCTCCTGAGCAGCCAAGGTTAGGGCTTAGACTATGCACTGGCTTGGCAAGTACTCCCACTTGAATCATGCCTCCAGACCCTATTAGCAATTTTTCAGCTTTGGCTTCTTAAATATATTCAAATTTGACCCCTTCTAACCACTATGGGCACACCCCATCATCTTGTCTCTAGATCCTTCCTGACCTCCCTTGTCCCTCCAGGCTGTTCTCCACAGGGCCACTAGAGGGAGTCTGTTATACTTTAGTCCAAAGGAGGACCAACTTGTATAGAGGACTAGGTGGTCTCTGTTGCCAACTCTGTGAGAAGCAATCAGACAAGAGGTGGGGAACAAGCAAGGCTTGGTTCCAGTAAAGCTGCATTAACGCCAGCCTGCCAGCCTCAGAGGTAGCCATTGTTTTACCCATGTGGTGTCATTTCGCTATTCTAAACTCTCAGCTAAAAGACCATTCACCGTCCAACTGTATTTCTTGGTATTTCTTTCCTAAATCATGCTGCTCCAAGTACTGTCCTTCCTCCTGGAGAAGGGTCCTCCCTACTCACATGCTTTGCTTGTACCCCCTCTGCACAGACATTCTGAGACTCCATCTCAACTGCCCACCCCCAGCTTTTTCTTAGAGCTTATTGCACCCTCTGACTGCTATGTGGTGACCTCATATCCACAGGCTGACATCAAACAACCATAGATCAAAAGTATTCAGAACCAGCTGCGTGTGGTTGTGCATGCCTGTAACCCCAAGACTAGGGAGGCAAAGTCAGGAGTATTGGGAGTTGGAGGCCAGCCTGGGTCACGTCATCACTCTGAGCTATATGAGACCCTCATCTTAAAACAAAACAATTCAGGGCTGGGAATGAGGCTTAGTGGTAAATGTGTTTACCTAGCATGCATGAAACCCTGGGTTGGATTCCTCGGTACGACATAAACACAAAAATCTGGAAGTAGCACTGTGGCTCAAGTGGTAGAGGGCTAGCCTTGAGCAAAAGAAGTTTAGGCCCTGAGTTCAAGCTTCAGGACTAGAAAAAATAATTCAGAATAGGGGCTGGGGTGGGGGTGTAGTTCAGTGGTAGAGCACTACTTAGTATGGGACCCTGAATTCGATGGCTAACAATGGGAGGAAAAAATTTGGAATCAGAATAAAATAAAAAAGCATGTACAAGGCCCTAAGTTCAATCTCATAGCACCAATAACAGTAAATTAATTTTTTTGGTCGGTTGTGGGGTTTGAACTCTGGGCCTGAGCACTGTCCAAGCTCTTCAGTTCAAGTCTAATGCTCTAGCACTTGGCCATAGTGTCACTTTGGTTTTCAGGTGGTTCACTGGTGATGAGTCTCATGGACTTTCCTGCCCAGGCTGGCTTCGAACTATACTCCTCTGATCTCAGCCTCCTGAGTATCTAGGATTACAGGCATGAGCCTGTAATTTTTATAAATAAAAATTAAAGGGGCAGGAGGCATGGCTCAGTTGGTAGATAGCACTGGCCAATGAGCAAACGCTGGTGCAGGTACTGAGTTTGAGTCCTGGTCTCAGATGAAGGAAAAAGAAAAAATTAAAACCTCAGAATTGCATCATTATTATAGACTTTTTCCTTCTTATATCTGAAACAATAAAATAGAAATTACAGGTGACACATTTACATCCTCCAGGCACATCACATTACTGCACTTTGCATTATTGTGCCTGGAAGAATTGCTTTTGGTCCCCGTTACCAATTAGTTTGTGGGAATCTTCTGTATTTAAGTGCCATTTTCCAACAGCTCAGATAGCCATTGACATTTCAAGCAATAGGTATGTTGTATTTGTGTGTGTGTGTGTGGTCAGTCATGGGGCTTGAGCACTGTTCCCGAGCTTTTTTGCACAAGGTTAGCACTGTACCACTTAGAGCCACAACTCCATTTACAGTTTTCTGATGGTTAACTGGAAATAAGAATCTCATGGACTTGGGGCTTGGAAGGTGGCTCAGTGGTAGAGCGCTTGCCTTGTATGCATGAGGCCCTGGGTTCGATTCCTCAGCACCATATAAGCAAAAAGAAAAAAAAAGCCGCAAGTGGCGCTGTGGCTCAAGTGGTAGAGCGCTAGCCTTGAGCTGAAGAGCTGAGAGACAGTCCCCAGGCCCAGCGTTCAGGCCCCATGACCGGACACCACCCCCCCAAAAAAAAAAAATCTCATGAACTTTACTGCCTGGGCTGGCTTTGAACCACCATCCTCAGATCTCATCCTCCTAAGTAGCTAGGATTACAGGGGTGAGCGGGGCAGCTCCCTTAGCAGTTCCCTGAACTACAGCCGCACTTCCAGATTTTGGTGGTTAATTGGAGATAAAAGTCTCATAGACTTTCCTGCCAAGGCTGTCTGATTTTCAGATCTCAGCCTCTTGAGTAGTTAGGATGACAGGCATGAGCCACCAGCACCCTGCATGATTGTCTTTTTTTTTTTTTTCTTCTGTCCTGGGGCTTGAACACAGGGCCTGGGTGCCATCCCTGAGCTTTTTTGCTCAAGGCTAGTGCTCTACCACTTTGAGCCACAGCTCCACTTCCAGTTTTGAGGTGGTTAATTGGAGATAAAGGTCTCAGGGACTTTCCTGCCCAGGCTAGCTTTGAACTGCAATTCTGAATAGCTAGGATTACAGGCATGAGCCACCAGCACCTGGCTATGGATATCTTTATTTTTGTCTTTTTCATATAATACTATTTCACATTTTATTGGACTACCATATAAACAGGTGTATCTGTATACATATGTGTGGGTGTACATGTATAGTATATATGTATATGCAATACTGGGATTGAACTCCAAGTCCTCATGTTCCATTGACTGGTACTCTGCCACCAGAGCCACGCTTCTAGTCAGTTACTGGTTAGATGGAATTTGCAGCTCAGTTTTTTTTTCTTGCTAATTAGTCTCAAGGATTTGTCTGCCTAGGTTGGCTTCAAACTGTGATCCTCAGATCTCAGCCTTGAGTAGCTAGGGTCGTAGATAGGAGCTACAGTCTGTATAAGGCTGTTTTTGTTGTTGTGGTACTGGGGATTGAATTCAGGGCACTGCATTTGCTAGCAGTTACTCTAATCACTTTAATCACACCCAAACCCCTTTTTCTTTTTCCTAGTTTTTTCCAAGTACATTCTAATCTTTATACCCAGTCCAGTCTGGACTGTGATTCTCTTTATAAACTAGCATATATGTTCTTCTACATAAACTAGGATGACAGGCAAAAACTACTACATCCAGCTTTTTATTGGTTTAGCTGGGAAAGAGGGTGTCAAGAATTTTTCATCTGGGGCTGGGCTCTTCATGTCACCCTTTCCCCCACCTACTGGCACTGTAGCAGGTATCTGTGTGTGTGTGTACTGATTAGAACTCAAGGCCTGGAGCCAGGTACTGGTGGCTCACGCCTGTTATCTAGCTACTCAGGAAGCTGAGATCTGAGGATCACAGTTCAAAGCCAGCCTGGGCAGGAAAGTCCGTGAAACTCTTATCTCCAATAAATCACCAGATAACTGGAAGTGGGGCTGTAGCTCAAGTGGTAGAGCGCTAGCCTTGAGCTGAAGAGCTGAGGGACAGCGCACAGGCCCAGCGTTCAAGCCCTATGACCAAAGAAAAAAGAAAAAAGAACTCAAGGTTTGGGCATTGTCCTTTAGCTTTTTCACTCAAGGCTGGAACGCCACTTTTTTGTTTTCCTTTTGGTTGTTAATTAGGAGATAAATCTCATGGAATTTTTTTTTTCCAGGGCTGGCTTCAAACCTGAATCCTCAAATCTCAGCCTCCTGAGCAGCTGGGATTACAGGCGTGAACCACAGACACCTGTCTCTACAGCAAGTCATTGGGTCAACCAAGAAAGTCTAGAGAAGGAGGTGATGAGCGTCTATGGAAATACTATAAGCCATTTGTTAGCAAGGACTGCACATGTGTAGATTTGGGGTCCGCTTCGGGGGAGGGGGAGGCCGAGGAGGGGGGTGTGGAATGGAGGAAGGTCGTTGATTCGAACTCCATGGATACCTACACAAGGAAGAAGTGTACTGCGTGTACCCTGTGTAGGTTAGTAGCTCTTTGCTGTATCCCTGGGAAACCGGCCTCTCCCCCACACCCACCCCCCAAAACCACGCCTGACAGCTCTCCCCCAAGAGCGTCGCCGACCGAAGCTGCTGGAAGGTCCTTCCTCACCTAGCTGACCCGCCACCAGCTTCCTCCTCGCGGCTGTCCTGGCCCTGCGGCTGTTCCTTGCTGTCCCCCATGGGCTGTGGCTCCGATTCGCTGTCTTCTCTGTGGGCCGGGTCCACCTGCGAGCACAGCCCACGCCTGAGAGGCCGCTGGGGGGTGGGGGGAGAGGGAGACCCCGCCCCTGAGGCCCTGGGTGGGGGGGGGCCCCCGACATAGGGGGTCTCCGGATGGGGAGACCTGCGGGGTCCCGGGTGAGGATGGAGGCGCCGTGGGAGGAGAGGCGGCAGGGCCGGGGTGGCGCATGGTGGGCCAGGCCGCCGCTACC